TGCAGTTAGTTACACTAATTCAGATATGAGATGAAATCGGATATTGATGAAATCGTTTAGGGATGAACGAGTTTAAGAGTTTTAAGAGTTTTAAGAGTTTTAACCAAATGCTTTATAATATACTATAGATGTTTTAGTATAGTAGTTGGAGTAAAAAAATCTTTAATTTCCAAATTTTTTATTTTAACTTAGTTGTTCGAGATACTCTTATTTATAATAAATTCTATAACGAATGAGCTTTTCAAATAAAGTCGGACCTAAAATTTATATGGCATTGTGACAACCAAAATAAGTGAATAGACATTTTTTTCTTCCAAAGCTTTTTCCTCTTTGATGAAATCGCCAAAAAGTTCTTGAAAATGCTTATATTGTAGAGGGAAAAGTCCAAAAAAACCCAATGGACTTTACTCTTTGGAATGATTAAGTCCCTGGATAATTTTTTGGAACAAATAAACCATTGGACATTCTAAAATCTGTTAAATAAATCCTTAGACTTTTTAGAATTTATTAAATAAATCCTTATTTGTTTAAAATGTAACCTGTGACCTGAAGAGTAGGTAAACTCAAATTAAAAAAAAAACCCTAATATCCTAAAAATGATGACTCCCAGCTCACTCATCGTCTCCCTCTCGTCTCCACACCACCGTGACCACCGTGACCACTCATCTCCTCCCTCTCGTGACCACCGCTCCCTCCCGTCTCCTTCTCCCTCACACACCATCGTCTCCCTCTCGTCCCTACACCACCGCGACCACTCATCTCCTCCCTCTCGTGACCACCACTCCCTCCCGTCTCCTTCTCCCTCACACACTGTCGTCTCCCTCTCTCGCACCACCGCCGCACCACCGCCGCACCACCCCCGATCACCAGGTTGGCTTCCCCTTATGTCTGGAATCACGAGTGTCGCCCTTAGGTATCTTGCCACTACTACTGCATCAGTAACCTGAGGTTTACAATCACCATGGTTAAGATTTGATGAAACACAAAAGATAGATAAAAGGTTGCAATACATGATTTTGACATAAGAAACAGAATGAAATGTGTTGATTTCT